ATGAGCTTGTGACGTCGGAGGACAAAGGGAGGAGCTCTGTGAGGGGAGCTGGAAGGTGGGTGGTGGGAGGTGAGGTGAATGATGGGCACCCCTGCATGTGACCTTTCAGCCATGGTTGGGAGTCTGGATTCTAGTCTGGGAATGATGGGCATCTCTTGGTGCTAGGCCAGGAATGGCGTGACCTGACCGTGGTTTAGCAGGCTGTCCTGTTAATTCTCACTTAGCAACACTGACTGTGTAATTGGTAGATTCATCTAATAGCCATGAAATGTTCTGTGTGTGCGTGAAGCAAACAAGAGTGAGACAGAAGCTTTTGAAGTCATAAAGAAACTTCTGCCCAAGGGCCTCGAGGCCATTGGCAGGACAGTTGGGTGAGGCTTGTTTTATCATCAGGAAAACAGCTCAGAGAAATTCAAGACCTGGCTGTCCAAGAAGAAGGGCCCTGCAGAGAGAGTGCTGGCTTTCCCCTCTTGTGGGGGGATCCAGCCAGGGAGTGAAGGGATTCTTCAGTGGAGGGGGTCTTGCTCCCATTTGTCAGCCTGGCCCTCCATATTCTGGGGTCCCACACATTTGTTTCAGAGTCTTTCCAATTATGTAGAGAGCAGAGCTCATAGGAACGTATTCTGGCGGGACCTGAGAGAAGTGAATCCGTTTTCCCATTTCGGTGTCCTGAGCCTGCCGTGGGAATCTGCCCCCTCTCCATTCTGAGGCCCCAGGCTGTGGGTTAGGTCAGGATTGCCTCTCTTTTCCCTGGGCTCTAGGGCTGGAATAAGACTGCACAGCACTTCCCCGTGTGCACACCCTGCAGGGGCTGAGGTAAGGCAGGTGTGTTGCAGCTGTGAGGGGGCCTCCAAGCTGGGCCAGGAAGCCTCTGAGCCAAGTCCAGCTGCCTCTGAGGCTCTTGGCAGCATTGTCCCCTGCACACCACCTGGAGCATCATCCAGGTGGTAGGAGGCCCAGGATGGAGGATACATGTGTCCTGGGAGAGCATCCTTGGCTACCCACACCCCTGCCCCAACATCATCTGTTGCTGCCACAGCCACTGCAAGGGGGCAGGAGCTGAAGATGGTCCAGGAAGTGCCACAGAAGTGATTAGCTCAGCTAAGAGCTGTCCCAAGGCCCCTGGGCACACCACTCCCTTGCACTCCCAGGGTGGTTCACCTTCATTGGCAGAATGTGTGTGAAATGGGGTGAAGCTGGGCTTTGGTGACATAGTCCCAGAAGGCCCAGGCTGGTGCTGGAAGTAGCCAGCTGCCCAGGACCTCCCTGCCAAAGGCCAGCACATGGCTTAAATCCCCCCCCCCCATGAGGGACCACACTTAATTTTGGACTGAGGATGAGCTAGTCCCCAGGATGTGAATGTGGCCTTATTTAGATATAGTGCTTGCAGATGCAATTAGTTAAGACGGGGCCACATGGGTGTAACTGGGGCCTGATCCAACATGCCTGGTGAAGCGGGACCTTTGGACACAGATCCACACAGGGAGGAGGCCAGGTGAAGATGGCAGGAGATGCAGGCTGATGTTCTACAAGGCTGGGAACAGCAGGGCTAGCCAGGAAACCACAGGAACTGGGAGAGAAGCGGGGAACGGACGCCCCTCAACACCCTTAGGACCATCTCTAACACCTTCAGGCTCCAGCTCTGCAAGATGTGTTTCTACTGCTCACATTTCCCAGGTTGTAGTCCTGTTAGGACCACATTCCTGCATGGGAACCTGAGAAGCAGAGAGCAGGTGCCTCCCCAGAAGGCCAGGTGGCAAGGGGAGGCTGGCTGTGCGCTTGCTCTGGCCTCCAGCACAAGATGGGAGACTCTCTGCTTGGCAGCCCACAGGGGGTGTAAGTGAGCTGGCAGCCAGGTGTGAGAAACAGCAGTGTCACTTTATTCACATCCCAAAAGATGCCCTGTAGGGACTTCAGCTCATTAAGACCTTTGCACATGGCCGTCTGGAAGTCTGGGCACATAGATCACATTAGGGAACTTGTCACAGTGGCACCTTCCTGTTGTTTTGAGGCAACGACCTCCCGTGTTGGCTTGGGAGGTGCTAAAGTGATACTCTGCTAATGGTCTTGGGAGCACAGGGTCCCTCCGGCTCTATCCGCTCTCCCCTCTTTGGGGTGGAGACAAGCTGGGGAGAAACGTTTCTCTAGGACAAGAAGAGCCGCAAGATGGGCACCCACGAGACTGCCATTCACAGCCAGGAAGACCTGGGTGGGGAGACCCCTACCCCTGCTCTGTCCAAGTCCAACCAGAAGCCCTTTCGCCCAGGTCTGGATCAGCAAGGGAGAGTAGAAATCTAGGTCATTTTAGGTGAAAGGGGCAAGATTTTTAAAAGTTAGCTCAACCTTTCTCTATTCTGAAACCTGTTTTATTGCCTTCTGTAAAACTATGGCTCTGCAAAAGATGTTTGTCATTAGTGCCTGCCCCACAAGTGGGTGAGGTCCTTGAGAGGGGCTGTAGCCACCTCTGCTCTATGTCCGGTGCTCACAGTTCCTCCTGGCACACAGCTGCTCAGGAAGTGCTGGTGGAATAATGGAGGATCCCGCCTGCTGTGTGCCTCTGGGACTCCATCAGCTTCTCTGTGTGATTGTCAGGCTGCAGGTGAGACAGGGTCTAACTTTAAGCCTTTGAACCCAGCCCAGTGTTACTGTGAGTGAGGACCAAGGCTGGAGAAGGACAGGGCACCCTCCTGGCTCCCGCTCGGAGCGAGGCTGCGCTGTGGCTCCTGAACAGCTCCAGCTTTCCACCATCCATCGCTCAGCGTGCTTTTAGGAGGGAATTACACGTGTGATTTATTTGCAAATCCTTTCCGGTCCTGGAGGAGAGATGCTTAGCACACAATGCAGTTTGTCATCAGATGTCAACATCCCCTCCATGCAGACAGCAGCATTACACGATGTCAGGGTGTAATTGGATTGTGCTGGATCCTCAAATCTGCACTTTCATTTACCAAAAGCCACTGCACCCGGAGAGCCATTTGCAACCGATGCCAGCCCCTGGGAGGGGTCAGCGCGCAGGGAGACAAAGATCAGCCATGACACTGCTGAATGCACGTTTTATATTTACAGTAGGCAAGTTTATAAATATATATTACATTCTTACAATCTACAATACATTCTACACAGAGATGGACTTGGGAGTGGGCAGTGGCTTCGGGAGTCAACGGAATGTCTCAGGGGAAGAATGGTGAGAAACAGGAGCAGGGGCAGAAAGCAAAGGACTGTCATGGGAAAGAGGTGACACTGAGTCACCCAACTAAACAAGGCGAGAAAACTGGGGACAGGAGCAGGTGACGTACTGGCTGCAGGGATCCCAGTGTCAGAGCTGTTAGCACCACGGTTGGAGGGAGAGTGCCAGGGCTGGAAGGGTGGCCTGCTGGGACCGACACACGTGTCACACCACGGGAGTTCGACTACGTGGCAGGGAGAGAGAAAAAGAGGAGGCCGAGGAGAGGAAGGAAATAGAGACCCATAGAGGAAAGCGGCAGGAGGAGAGGAAGAAGAGAGTGCAGAGGACCAGAAAGGGAGTTTGGAAAAGAGCTGAAGAACAGAGAGAGAGAGAGAGGGGGCGGGGAGAGGGAGGAAATCGCACAGTTGAAAACACAGAGAGCCAGAGCTGGCTCCACAGCCTCTGCTCTATGTCTCTGCTCTATGGCCTCTGCTGCCACCTCCCCTCCACCTTCTCAGGTCCTGCCCCCCTGGGTGCATCCAGCCTGCCACTCTGCCTCCATGTGGGATGGGGTGAGGCTCACTCCACCCTCCCAGGTCTTTTATCTGAGGGTCTTCCCAGAGCCCTTTGGACGTTAAGCAAGGGTAAGCCTCCCAGGGCCACCTGGAGGACCGCGACCTAGTGCCGCCTCCTCCTCCCCTGCACTCCAGGCCTCCCTCTGCCTCTCCTGGGGAGGAAGCCCGCGGCCTGACCAGGCCCATGCAGGCCCACCTGCCTGCTGCCTCCTCTCACAGCCGGTCCTGCTCTGCACACGCTGCTTATGACACTCGGACCCCAGAGCTCTATTAATGGCCTGATGGCAAGTGGCTGGTGGAAGATCAAGGTGAACAGCATGGGCCCATCACAGAGGGTCCCCTCTTCTTTCTAGCTAAGCAGCGAGAGGAACCCACCTCCTTTGGTGTTGAATTCACTGGATTCACTGCCCACTCCCCAGGGACCAGTCTCCCCCAGGTGAAGCATGTCCCGGGCTGCTCTGCTGAACGTCACCGGGAGTTGACACAAAACCCCAGGGAGGGGACTGAGCACATGCTGGAAGCTGCCCATCCCTACCCCAGATGCAGGTGACCAGCAGCTTCTGAAGGTGGAGACGCAGTGAGGAGCAAGATCTACAGAACAGACTTGTGAAGAGAGCCTCATTTCTCGACCCTGAAATTCTGTGCCCAGTATCCTCGGTTTACCCAACGATGATGGCTCTGGAGTGCTGGGAAGAGCGGTGGTGTTTGTCTTGGCAAGTTGTTACAAAGGTATCTGTGGCCTATAAACCTCTGGTTGCCTTTCTGTCCTAGTCAGCACCTGCCTGGGTCTGTCGATAACCCAGGCAGCTTCAACCTGGCCCTTGGGAGGTGGCCACTCACAGCCGTGCCTGCTGTAGCTGCCAGGCACTTGATGGTGCCCATCGTCACGCTCACAGCCAGGCAGCTGCACCCGTGGGAGCACACACTTCTCCCATTGATTTGGGCACGTACAACCTGAACCTGGCTTTACTTCTGCTGTCCGTCATGTGGAATTTTACGAAATCCAAATTGCTTCCATTAAACAGAGACACTGGTTTTTGCTGGAAATGCTCAGAAGCTCCGTGATTCACAGTCCTTTTTGCTCCAAGTTTAGAGAATCTTCCCCTGAGCAAGACCTGGTGGGCCGTGACGTGAGCCTCAATGCTGGCCGGGCCTCCCCAGCCAACTGGGGCATTTTCTGGACGGTGCCAACCTTCTCCTGTCCTGCCCCCTCCCTTCTTCTGGGTGCCCTCATTCAAGGCTATAAGCATTGGGCCAGCTCACACGTCTTCATGGAGCCTCTCCATGTACTCCTGCAGCTCCTTGCAGCCCCCGGGGTCCAGGTCCTGACAGACCCACTTGATGTCGTCCTCCCTGCTCATCACGGTGGAGCTCCCCGCGGGGCACCCGTCATCGGGGGAGAGGGCTGTGAAGGTTGTAAAGGTCACTCTTTTCCTTTTTGAGGTAGGGGATGTTGGGGGCTCACTTTTCTGGTCTTTCCCGGCCGTGAGCACCGCTCCTGCGGGTGTGAGCAGCTGCCCATTGATGCTTTTGTGAGAGCGCGTGCCCAGGAGGTACTTGCTCTCCTCCATGTCCAGCTCCCGGTCCACGGCAGTGATCTGCTCCTCCTGGGAGGATGCAAAGTTCATGTGGTTCTCCAGCAGCTCTGCCCGGTTGCTCAGCCCCACCCAGTCGTGGGCGTGGCTCATGCCCTCCTGCTCCTCGAAGGGCACCTGTTTGTGCCTGTACTTCAGCGCGAAGGCCACACAGTTGATTAGGAAGACCAGGATGGCCAGGCAGAAGACGCCCAGCAAGGCATACATCCCGATYTCCAGGTCGCTCAGCCCTTTGGATGCCTGAGCCGGGTCATTCTCCTCCGTCTCCACATTGCTTCGGGGGAGGTCCGCAGGGTCTGGGAAACTGGTGATGTCCACAGGGATGGTCTGCAGGCGGCTGTCACCATCTGGTGGGTTTCCCTGGCCGTCCTTCTTCGGGAAGGTGGACCTCTCGGTGGTGCTTCCTCTTCCCTCCATGAGTCCCATGGAAGAGCTGCCCAGGTACTGGCCTTCAGGGCTCCCCCATTCCTGCAGGGGTGCTTTGGACCTCCGATCCCCAATGTCACTTTCCAGGTGGACCCCTGTCCCCATGGGTCTGCCATCGCTGACATTGGGGTTAGCATCGTTCTGACCAAACTTAACTTTGATGTTTGCCGTTCCCACAGCGAGCACGCTTTTCCGCTTGGATTTCTGGCACGACTCACTAATGACCATCTCCACCTTGACCAGTGCTCCTTGTCCTTCCGATTCTGCAGCGATTATCGGCCACTTGAACCTGGGGTCTTGGTGGATGGAGACCACCTTTTCATCCAAGGACGTGGCCAGCAAGGAGAAGTCCTTCCCATCATAGATATCCAAGGGTGTGACTGAGCCGTCACTGAACTGGACCCAGCAACTGATGGCCGCTTCCTGTTGAGTAAAACAGGTGAATCAGAATGGGCTGGAAGCTCGCTGGCGGGTCCCAGAAAGGGAAACAGCAGCCGAAGGGGTGCTATGGAGCAGAGGAAACTGCTGGAGTGGTGTAGCAAGAGGTCAGAGGTAGCCAGGGCACGTAGGATTCATCCCCCCAAAGACTCACAATCAAAACAACAAAATGGCACCCGGCTGGAGTGCAGCATTGTGCACCAAGGTATGCTTCCCTGGGACGTTGGAGGGAAGATAGGCTGGTGGCTGCTCACTCCTGCACAACAAAGTCAATGGGGTGTCAGAGGGTGTCACTGGTTAGTGGGAGGGCTTACGAGGGTGGCCTGTGTAAGTGGAAGATATTCATTCTGTTATGTTTACATTGCCTTAAGGTGAGCCACCAGACTAAAGCCGAGCAGGAGGAGCGCTTCTAGAATCAGGGAGAGAAGCTTGACTTGGGGACAATCAGGGTGGATCCCAGATCCTGGGGCCATCCCTCCTTGCCTTGGGCACAGAGAGAGCTAACCACCTGCGAGTGCCTCTAGGAAATGATGAGGGTCCACTTCTGAACACGGAGGGAGCTTGTTCCACTTGCAAGGCCCATAAACAGCCCTCTGTGGAAACCCTTGTGTCAGCACACAGCCACACACACCCTCAGCTCACACACACAGCCACACACAACCTCAGCTCACACACACAGCCACACACACCCCTCAGCACACACACACAGCCACACACACCCTCAGCACACACACAGCCACACCAACCCTTAGCACACACACAGCCACACACATCCTCAGCTCACACACACAGCCACACACACCCCTCAGCTTACACACACAGCCACACACACCCCTCAGCACACACACACAGCCACACACACCCCTCAGCNCCACACACACCCCTCAGCACACACACACAGCCACACACACCCCTCAGCTCACACACACAGCCACACACACCCCTCAGCTCACACACACAGCTACACACCCTCAGCTCACACACACAGCCACACACAACCCTCAGCACGCACACCCAGCCACACACACACCCTCAGCATGCACACACAGCCACACACCCCTCAGCTCACACACAGCCACACACAACGCTCAGCTCACGCACACAGCCACACACACCCCTCAGCTCACACACACAGCCACACACACCCTCAGCACACACACACAGCCACACACAACCCTCAGCACACACACACAGCCACACATACCCTCAGCTCACACACACAGCCACACACAACCCTCAGCACACACACACAGACACACACACACACCCTCAGCTCACACACACAGCCACACATACCCTCAGCACACACACACACAGCAACACACACCCCTCAGCTCACACACAGCTACACACCCTCAGCTCAAACACACAGCCACACACAACCCTCAGCACGCACACACAGCCACTCACACACCCTCAGCACGCACACATAGCCACACACACCCTCAGCATGCACACTTAGCCACACACCCTCAGCTCACAAACACATAGCCACACACACCCCTCAGCACACACACAGCCACACACACCCTCAGCACGCACACATAGCCACACACACCCTCAGCTCGCACCATAGCCACACACAACCCTCAGCTCATACACACATAGCCACACACACCCTCAGCTCGCACACACAGCCACACACAACCCTCAGCTCGCACACATAGGCACACACAACCATCAGCATGCACACATAGCCACACACACCCTCAGCTCACACACAACCACATGCAAACATAAGGTGCCTTCACAACACACAGCACACCCAACACACTCGACACAAATAGACACACATACACAAACACACACATGCGTTCACTCAGACAACAAACACACAGCCCACACCCTGTTATCACACAAGGAAGAAAATCACCAAGGGTGCCATCTTGCTTGTCCCCTTCTCCTGGAGCTAAACAACTAACTGGGGGTACAACCCCTGTCTCCTTCCCAGTCCCCAGACCTGGTGCCCGGCTCTGTGCAGGGCCTTGGTGCAGACTGTGATGATTCCCAAGGCTGCCCCTGCCCCTGTCCCTCCATGGCTGGTGAGGTCCCACATGTCTAGTCAGGACTGTTTGGACAGAGCAGGAATGGGCATGTGAGACAGCAGGTGACACTGTGACGCAGGTGGACCAAGGGCTCCCCGTTTGCTTTTGTGTCCTGGTGGCTCTCAGTTTCACCTGCTGAAATCTTTTCTGTCTTGGTTAGAGGGAGCTGGGGGGACCCAGGGGGAACAGCCACCTGCTGTGTGTCCCCCTCTTCTGGGAAGCCCTCCTGCAGTGGACATGAACTGTTTGGCCAGGTGTCCACCTGGTGCAAAACCCACCTGACCTGGGAGGAGCCTGACATCTGCTCACCTGTTTGGGCCTCTGCAAAAGTTCCTGAGCCACTGCGGTGGCAAAGATGGCTCTGTTGCTCCCAGGGCTGAGCTGCAGGGACAGTGACAGTCCTGTCACCAGCTGCACCCCCAGGTCTGTGATGGTCACCTTCTCATCCAGCACGGTGATGGTCTTTTCAGCCAGGATGGCATCCGACAGCGGGGACAGGATCTAAAGGGCAGAAGCAGCATCGTCAGAAAGGGCTCCGTGTGGTCCCAGGGACTTGTCCCCTGGCACAAGGATGCTCCACACAGGGTGGGAACCAGGACAGGAGAATGAGGAGTGGGAGGTGGGCCTCTCCCACGGGGCCTTGTTCTAGAACAGATCTCTTGGTCCAGTTTCCAGGCATCAGCGATCAATGGTCAGGTCTTTCAAGACCTTTGTCTTTGGTGGGAGTTGGAAGCTCTTGCCACGGGGAAGATATCTGTCTGACATAAGTCATACTTGACGGTGGGATTAGTGGCCATTATTATTATTTTTTAAACCCAGAAGGTTTTATATAAAAGTGGAGATTTCTGGTTCCTGGAAACACTGCATTGAAAGGTGGCTCTGGGCCGGCAGCTCCTCCTGATGTCCCCTGCCACAGTCCTCTGTGCTCCCTATTGTCTGCCCAACCCTAAGCTCCCCACTGTTTCAACAAGCACACCTGGCCTGCTGCCCTCACTGATGACACTTTCTAGAGATCGTTGTGCATGTCAGTTCACAGCCCAAATCCATCTACAGCTCCCACGTCCCCAGCTCTGCATCAGATTCAACCGACGGTGATCAGCTGGGTGTAAACTGCACATGGGAGGACCCGTCCTTCTCTGCGTTCCCTGAACTACACACAGAATGGCACTGAGTTCCACAGCATCTGCACCACATTAAGGACTAGGAGTGAACCAGAGATGGCAGAGAGAGTGGCAGGGTGCCCACAGGGTATAGGCACATACTCTGCTGTGTGACGTGAGGACTGAGCCGGGGGGAGTCTTGTACCCTCAGAAACCAACCCCTGTGATTACCTCCTTGGATAAACTGATCTCTTTACCAGTCCATTTTGCAGAGTGGTTGAGTCTCAAATGTTCCATGTTCCAGTACCGCTGCAGCTCCAGGGTGTCCCCGGGCAGCGCTGATTTGGAAGCCTCAGATTGCCTGGGGTGCTCCCCTCTCCTACACGGGGCACTGTTAGGGGATGAACTCATCCTTTGTTCCCAGCTGGGGGGTAAATGACCAAACCTGCAGAAGCCTCCCGGTATGGTCTCCCGCCCCGGCCACTTGTACAAGCGTTTCTTCCAATCCCCCCGGAGCCACTGGGGCTTGAACCAAGGACTCAGAACTTGGTAGGCCAGTGCTCCTCCACTGGGCTACGAGGTCCTGGGCTCAATCCCCAATGCTGCAAACCCAAAATAAACTTAAAAATAAAGAGCAAATAAAGGATGGCTGCGTGGAGGGATCGGACATCCTAAATCCACAGGGAGGCCGGTGCAGAAGAGGGAGGAGGGAGGAGAGGAGGGGAGGAAAAATGGTGCGAGCTCAACAAAATCATGTTATGTGCACTTGTGTACCACAGGGGTCGCACCTTCCTGGATCTGTGGAAAGCACCAGTGAAAACAGATAGATAGAGGAGCACGAGGAAGGTCAGGGGGTAGAGGAGGGAGGAAGGGCGGGCGGGGTGGGGGAGGTGGACAGGAATCCATGTGCTCATGTGTGATTTTGTCAGTGTGGACCCACTACCCTGCACAACCATGGCGCTGCACTGTTTAAACCACCAGCATTGCCTGCGGGCCTCTCTGTGCCCCACAGCGGGCACCTGCCCACAAGGCCAATGGCGTGATAGCCCCCTGCCATCCCCACACCCCTGGGATGTTCAGGTGCCATCGGGTCAGAGGTGGGACTTGGCCAAGGTGGCAAAGACGTCATGGAGAAACATGAAGCTTAGGCGAGGACGTCGGAAGGTGGAGGGTGGAGGCCAGCGCGGGCCTGGCAGGTGCTCAGGGGAGGGCCACTCAGACCAGAGAGTATTTCCCAAGATCCAAGGCCAGTGTGACCCATGGAGCCCTTGCTTGTCAATGTCATTAAGGTCACCCCCAGAATGGAGTTTGCTCTGAGGAACAACAGACAGCTGAGGCAGGGACACAGAAGCCCTTGCCTCTGGGGACGTCCTACCTGAATGGTGGTCATCCCCAGCTCCTGCCCGGCCAGGACCAGCCCTCCCTGCAGCTTGGCGATCCTGGGCTCCTCCACCTGCATGAAGCCGCTTATGAGCTCCGTGATGTCCACTTGCCAGTCTGAGCCCAGCAGGTAGGCCAGGTGGCCCCCGGGGCTGGCCGCCTCGGCCACAAACTGTGTCAGGACGCGCACCATGGCATGCTGGTACTGCAGGGTGCAGCCGCGGCCCCGCCTCTCCTCGTCCTCCTCCTCCTCACTGTCCCGAGCTGGCCTGTCAGAGAGCCAGTCAGTCCATCGGATACTTACTGGGGGCCAACTGCTTATGGCTGGAAATGTGACCCCCACCCCACCCTTGAGGGGTTCACCGCTGGCTGTGAGGCTCAGACGCACACAGGGTGAGACTGAGACTGGGCCATCGGGATGGCCTGGGTGGCAAGCAGGCTCAGAGGTTCCCGCAGGTGGGGCGCCCAGTGGCAGGTGGGGCGTCCAGTGGCAGGCGAAGCCAACAGGAGGCTCTTGGAGCAGAGACTGGCAGCCCTGTCCTGCACATACCACAGGGAACCTTGGGTCCTGTCCTGCTGCACTGAGCTGCCCCTGCCCTTTCCCTCTGAGCCTAATCGCACTCAACATGGGTCTGCATTAGGGAGTCTGTCTCTCACCCAGGCATACACACACACACACACACTCACACACACACAGAGGCATACACACACACAGGCACACACACATAGGTGCACACACACAGGCACATGAACACACACACAGGCATACACAGGCACATACACAGAGGCACACGCACACACACACACAGGCACACACACGCACACAGGCACATACACATAGGTGCACACACAGGCACATGAACACACACACAGGCATACACAGGCACATACACAGAGGCACATGCACACACACACAGGCACATACACACAGGCACATGCACATGCACACACATACAGAGGCAGACCCACACACCAGCACACACACACACACACACACACACAGGCACACACACTCGAGAGGACTGCTCAGGTACACACACACACATACAGAGGCATATACAGAGGCACACGCACGCACATAGAGGCACACGCACAGGCACACACATAGTTACACACACAGGTACACTCACACACAGACACACACACGTGCACACGCACTCACTCACACACCTTTTGTTGGAGACGATGGGGACTCTCCAGCCCTTGATCTGGTTGAGCTCGGTGTCTGAGACCTCAATCTGCAGCGGGAGCCGGGGCACCCACACGGTCACCTCCAGAGGACTGCTCAGGTGCTGGTAGGTGAAGCTGACTACCGCGTTTACCTTGCCTTTCATCTCCTTCCCGTTGACGAAGATGTAGTCACACCTGTCGGAGACCTGGGAGGGCATGGGGAGAGACAGCGGGGGCCAGTGAGCCTCCGCAGGACCTGTGGCGCGGAGCACAGGCGGGCAAGAGGTTGTCGGGGACCGCCCTGGGAGGAGCAAGTTCCTGTGCAGGACAGGCACAGGCTGCTGCTTTTGCCAGCATGTGGCAGACGCTCTGACGAGGATGTGGTGTGGGCCATTGTGGATGTGACCAGCTAAGGACCTTCTATCCTCAGCTCCACTGGCAAATGAGCAATTAGCAAATGAAATCACCTAACATCACATGTAYGTAAAGGGTACGACCTGATATCCTGGTAAAGAGGTGACCGTGAAATGGTGTCACAACCCAGCTAATTCACACCACCACCTCACAGCGACCTCTGGGTGTGTGTGTATGAGGACATTTATTACCTACTCTCTTGGGGAACTTCAGGCACACAATACGGTGTTGTTAAGGACCATCACCCTGTGGTACCTGCTGGGCCGTTGGGTCCCCATAATGCCACGTAGCTGGAGTCTGTGCCTGACCCAGGCGCCCACTCCCCTCTGCCCAGCCCTGGCAGCCTCACTTGTACCCTCTGCTTCATGAGGTCGACTGTGAAGCAGACTCCACGTGTGAGTGAGTGGGTGGGTGAGACCCTGTGGTGCCTGCCCTGGGTCTGGCTTATCCACTCGAGGTCCCCCGGGCTCATCCAGATGATCCCCGATGCTGGGGTGTCCCTCCTCAGTGGGCTGAGCCACATGTGCCCTGCTGCTTCTTCAGTCCCCTCAGTGGGCACTGAGGCTGCTCCACTCCCTGGCCGCTGTGCAAGGTTCAGGATCTTGAGATGGGGACTCCCTGGAGTATTGGGGTGGCCCTAATCATCACGCAGCTGCTCCTCGGGGGGGGGGGAGATTTGGTGCCAGCTGCAGAGGGGTGCTGTGGCCCTGGGCAGGTTGTCTCTGGCCAGCTGGAAGGTGGAGGGAGGGTCCAGGGAAGAAGCTGGGGAACCCTGGGGCCTCACAGGGAGCAGAGACAGACACCACCACCCTGACCCTGGGAAAGCCATGTCTGCCTTTGGCCTTGGAATGACAAGGTCAGGGTTTTTGGCGGCCCCAGGAGCTAACCTAGGGAGGGAGAGGGCTGGGCCAAGGGAGGAGCCAGGAGAGCATCCGTCCCAGGCTGGCTGGCCGGGCGAGGAGCGGGAGGGGAAGAGTCAGCGAGACCCTGAGGAGACCTAGGTGTAGAGCACCTGGCAGAGGACAGGGTTCTGGGCATCCTCCCTCCTGATGCTCATTGGGCCCAGGACACACATCTCACAGACGGTGAACCGGAGGCCTGAGACATGACGCCCCTTCTCTACATGCTGGAAAGAGGCAGAGAAGCACCAGGCCCAGGTCAGCCTCGGCCTGTCTGCCCCGCCCTGGCACATCCTTCTACCCAAATACCTTCTGGGTTCCCATTTTTTAAAGGATGGGAACCTCTTTTGGCACTTAAAGGGGCATGAACAAAAGCAGAGCAGCAATTATTGGGTTGTTCCAACATCACAGAAAGCATTTCCTGTGAAGGCCTTTCATCTGGGCACCAGGCATGGACTCCATATGCGCAGGGGGCCAGGAGCTCGGCCTCTGGGTGGTGACCGATGCCTCAGAGAAGGTGGGACAGCTCCACTGTGAGGTGCAGGAGTTTGCCACCCTCAGTCCCTGCCCAAAGCAGAATGACTTCAGTCGGATTGCAAAGCACATGCACAAGGCTGTCTATAATCTGGGGCCTGGCCATGGTCCCTGCTCCTGACCCAGGTCACTTCCCTTCCATCTCCACCCCAGGCTGAACCGTCACAGAGGAGCAGATTTCTTGAAAGAAATAAAGACGGAAGGGAGAGAGGGAGGGAGAGGGAGAAAGAGAGAGGGAGGGAGACAGAGAGAAGAGAGAGTTGAGTGACAGGTGTTGTTTCCTTGCTGGTCCAAGGAGGGACCATCAGGAGCTTTGCCTTCTCCTCACCATGGTATCTGCCTGGTGTTTAAGGTGATGGTGGCCATCCGTCTAGATTCTCAGAGCCTGGGGTACCCTGAGCCTCCCTACAAGGCCATGAGGGTCAGGGTCCAAATACGAGGTCCACCTTCCTCCTGCCTAGTAACTGGGACTTTGTTGGGGTTGTTTGTCACCAGCCCATTGTGACTGATACACCAGGCATAGACCTATTGTGAGGGCTGTACTAATAAAAATAGAATGGGCCAAATTAGTGGGTTTAGGAGGTGAGGGAGACCTCCTAAGTGAGTGAGTAAGGTGCATGAAGACAGAGGAGGCAATGTGGAGCTGGCTTCCAAGATTCTAGTTGTTGCAAACTCCGAACAAGCGTGGAGTCCACAGYGTGGGGCAGAGGTCTCCGTCATAAACACATCATCGCTGAGGCCGGGGTGATGGGAGCCGCCCTCCTCATGCTAAGGACTTTCTGCTGAGTGACAGAGCCCAGGACCCACGTCCATAGTAGTGGGGAGGAGAGTGGCAGCCTCTGCATGGCCTGGTGAGGTGGGGAGGCTGGGAAGAGCCCGAGGGGAGGTGGAGGTCAGGGAGGCGCAGGGAGGCTTGGTGGTAACGGGCAGCAGCGTCTCTGAGCTGTGCACCTGGGAAGGTGAGGACACGTGCCTGGGGACACCTGGATCATGTTTTTAAAAAAATTTGAATATTATTTATTTATAACTCACAAGCATTTCATCTTTAATGACATTGGTATTCCATGTGTTTATCAATGTATTTCACTGTTTGCTTTTTCAACGTGAACTTGTTTTACTCAGTAGCACGTTCGACACTTGGGCACCGGTGTGGGACACAGTGGCATGCCAGCCCGCGCCCTCTCCCCTTCACCTCCTGCACACATAGCAAGAGATAAGGCTGAAATCACAGAGCTGGCCTCAGAATGAGATGGCTTTATACAAACACTGAATGAACTCGACATAAACGTGGCTGTGATGAAGTCTAAGGAGGAGGGTCCTCTCCCCAGGTGACGAGGACCAGCCGTCCTGGAAGGGAGAGGGTACATGGTCAGAGCAGCTTAAGGTTCGCCCACGTGGACCAGCGGAACCTGTGCACCCTGCCTGGGTCTGGAAACCGACTTCACCCAGCAGAGGTTCAGAAAAGCCACAGGGAAGCCCCAAGCTGAGCCGTGATGGGTGACAGCCCTGGGGAACTTCACAGGTGAGAGAAGGGAGGCCGTGGATGGAGAGGGAGGGGGAAAGTGAACTTTTAAACATGAATCTCACTGTGCATACTSCAGGCACACCGCGTGCCTGGGGACTGGTGGGAGAACAAGGCACAGGCCACGTCTGCCCTCACAGAGGCACCAGGCTCTTGCTGTCCCTGTGGTGGGAGCTCAAGTCCACTCATGGAGTGGGTATCTGAGTGCAGCTCCATCGCCCTACAGTGCTCAGGGTGGACCCCAGGTGTCCAGTCTGTTCTCCCCCATATCTGCCCTTTGTGTCTCTAACTCCTGGCCCTGAACCCCCCCACCCCCCGCAGCCTTAGCCCCCTCCCTGCCTCTGGTCTCTGAGCCCCTCAGGGAGCCGAGCGCACGCTCTTCTGCCAGACCCACAGACACAGCACTGCGGATGAGCAGAGGAGACCTGTCCATCACATCTGGTTAGAACAGGGCTGGTGGTACCTGTCAGTAACTTATTAACTGCCACTTTCCAGTGCTGACAATGTGAAGGGATGATCTATGAAAGCTCTGGGCCCCCTTTGTACTCTGTGCCCGGCCAGCCGCCCTGTTCCGGGACGGAGTTAGAGTTAATATTTCCAACTCGTGTGCATAATCCGGCACTTATGTGAATTTAATGCCATTTCCTTCATTTGGGTTTAAATGCTGGATGAATTTAAATCTTAGTTAAATATCACCCATATTCATGGTACAATTTATGTTCTTCTGATATTTTTCTCTCTCCGCTTTTTTTTTTTTTCCCAAGTGCAGAAGCTAAGGATATGGAAATTCCTCTTTCACCCTCAGGCTTGACAGCAGTATCACCCCCAGGGAGGCCAGTGTCCAGTCTGGCCCTGGTGGCCCCTCTTGTGGATGGTCTTCATCCTGGACTGAGACGGAGCATTGATAACGCGGTGGCAGTGAGCGCGGCAGCAGCTGATGACGCAACGTCCCGGGTGGACAATAATTTCCACTTTGCTAAGTCCCCACAGCACGCCAACTAGACAGGTGCTATTGCCCTGTGTCCCGATGGGGAAACCGAGGCTCAGGGCTAAGCAGTCACGAGGACCTGATCTCCTGGGCTAATTAATCAGAAGAGAAGTCTGGCTCGCTCTTCCCGGTGAGCTTTTTGGGAAAAGGTTTCACTGCACTCAGTGGCTTCTGATAGAGGACAGGAAACTCTCTGCCCAGGGAGACGTGCTGTAGAGAAGATGCTGGGCCAGGAGGATCTCTGGGAGCAGGCAGAGACAGGCTGCAGATGTGAGGCCAGCCCTTGGGGTCAGTGGACACCACAGAGGGAGTGAGAGCCAACTTGAGCCTGGAGTGACCCTAGAACGGTCTGAATCGGGTCCCCCCTCTCCCACGCTCGTATGCTGAAGCCCGGGCCCCCAGTTCCTCAGGATGCAACTCCACTTGGAGGAAGGTCTTTTAGGAACAGAGTGAGTTAAAATGGGCCACTGCCCTGGGTTCCGGTTCAGTCTGACGGGTGTCCTTACAGAGAAGAGGTTAGAAAACACAGAGACATCAGGTTTGCACACAGTGAGAGGGGCCGTACCCCACCAAGGAGGGTCCTCAGAGAAACCAGCCCTGCCTGCCCTCAGACTGAGTCTTCAGCCTTGGGAGTGGGATGGGAGGATGGGTTTCTATTGCCTGAGGCGCCAGTCTGCTGCCGGGTGCTGCTGTGGCAGCCCTGCAATCCAGGCAGCGGAGGCCACAGAAGAGCCTTCTTTGGCTCTGTCTTTGCGGCTGTTTGCCGTTTCAGGAGAACTTGCCAGCAGCGTGGAGAGGAGGCTGGCTGGGGCCTCCTCGGGGTGGCAGTGTTGGTGGAGTCTGGCTTCG